ACCAAAGGAGTGCATTTGTGTGCGAGAGTGCGTCTCCGAATAGTTCCTGTGTGTTCGCTGGAGACGTCTCCGAATATTTTCTGCCAGATTCAGCAACACATTGTACCGCCTTGATAGAAACAATATACCAGTGGTATATTCTTATATTAGGAGATATTGCAACATTGAAGATATAGTAGTGATCTCGCTTTTTTCCAAGAAATGAAAAATCAGAATTTATGGTTAGAGACAAAAGATATAATCATGGGTCCTCAAACCTCAAGTATGAAGAGCCTTCCGATTTTCAGGGAAAAGGGGATCCTCAAAATCTAACAAGAAAGTCCTGAAAGGAGAAACAGGGAAAAGGGGGGGGGGGCATTATAAATCACAAGTACCATTTATTAGTTTATCACAAGCCTCTAACATAACAGGGGAAGCTTCTCTTGCCTAAGACCCGGGTTCAAGCATAGCTGTAGAGGAGAAACAGTACTCAAAACAGAAATGCACAATGATCTCGATAGCTCTTCAGCTCTTTCCTTTAGCTCTTCAGCCTTGCTAGACTGAACCAATCAAAACCAAACGCTATAACTTTAGTAACTATAAAAGTAATCTGTCAACAACAACAACAACAACAACAACAACAACAACAACAACAACAACAACAACAACTACAACAACAACAACAACAAGGGGACGACGACAACAACGATGTAAAACTAACCTCTAACCCCTAACCCCTAACCCCTAGAAGTTCGTTAAGGCTTTCTGGGCTTTGGATTGCGTCTTGCGTTATTGTGTCCATATATTATATTATAGACGGACGGGGAGATAGAACACATCCTTGTTATTGCAACATTACAGGAGTAATATTTGCACACTCTGTTTTGTCCGGGGGGGGGGTAATACATCCATTACCTATGAATTAACCAATCAGGGAATCGGAAACTTACGCACTGTATGTTGAGTTAAAATGAGACCAGGGCGAAAACCGATTGATGTTGGCTTGAGGAAAAACCCTGCAGAAAAGTCATAGAAACAGGCACAGGTTAACTCAATGGGGCCACACATTTTGCACGCTTGAAGACAACAACAACAAAAACCCCACGTTAACTTCGTTACTTATACTACAGATTTTTCAGTTCTGTTTTCTTTATCTGAATTTTAGAAAGGCAGACAACACTCTGATTACTATGACTAATTCAAATTCGTGTTTCTTATTGTATTATTTTTGCCTCGATATGTTCCCAAACACTGCCTTTGGTCCTCCGCTGATCGGACTTGTACAAATGTCTCCGCTTCATCTTTAAAGAGTTAACAAGGGACGTTACATATTATTATAGTAAACATGCAAAGTACCGTCAGAGATTCTTATCTGAATAACAGCAGTATAAAAATCATGTTCCTATTGTGATAGCTCTTCCGTAATTTGATGTTTTGTGTTGAAAAAGCTTGCGAAAGCGTAGGTGCCGTCAGTTCCATCGAGGTATGATAAAGATAATTTCATTATGTGCAATCTTATGCTTGTTTGGGCATAAATGGGCATTATATTCAGACTTGGGTGGCAAGTGCAATGCAATGGAGAGGG